CAAGCTGAGCGCTGAGAGTCCTAGCTCCGCAGCTTGAAGGGGGAGAGGGAAGCAGGGACCCCCCCCCCCAGACCTTGCCTAACGGGCTCCGCTATGCTTATCAAGTTGTAAAAGCTTGTTTGAAGCGCTTGTCTCCGGTACTGGTCGTCACTGGTGGAAAGTTTTGGGAATATCTGAAGTTTGTAGAGAGAGAGAGAAGAAGAGAGAGAGAGAGGAGAGGGGGGAGAGGGGAGGGAGGGAGGGAGGGAGGGAGGGGGAGAGAGAGAGAGAGAGAGAGAGAGAGAGAGAGAGAGAGAGAGAGGAGAGAGAGAGAGAGAGAGAGAGAGAGAGAGAGAGAGAGGAGAGGAGAGAGAGAGAGAGAGAGAGAGAGAGAGAGGGAGAGAGAGAGAGAGAGAGGAGGAGAGAGAGGGAGGGAGGGAGAGAGGGAGAGAGAGAGAGAGAGAGAGGGAGAGGAGAGGGAGGAGGGAGAGGAGGAGGAGGGAGGGAGAGAGAGGGAGGGAGGGAGGGAGAGAGAGGGAGTAATGGATTCAGAAACAGTGCTGACTTGAAAGTCTTCCTCCTACCAGAATTTTCACAATGACAACATTCATTTTATTTTCTCTCTCTCTCTCTCTCTCTCTCTCTCTCTCTCTCTCTCTCTCTCTCTCTCTCTCTCTCTCTCTCTCTCTCTCTCTCTCTCTCTCTCTCTCTCCCCCTCTCTCTTTCTCTCTCTCCCTCTCTCTTTCTCCCCCTCTCTCCCCCCTCTCTCTCCTCCCTTCACTCTCTCCTCTCCTCACTTTCTCCCTCCCCTACTCCTGTTCCTCCTCCTTCCCTCTCACTCCCTCTCTCTTTCTCCTTCCTCCCCCATCCCCCCCTCCCCCTCCCACACGCTGCCTCGTCCCTTTGAGACGTCAATTGGATATGAAGAGTTAATGAAACTACAAAACCCAAGCCAACAGAGTGCTAAAGTTTCCCTGTAAGTAGAGTCGGAAGTCCTGCACTTTAACCCGACACGGTCGCCCGGTGGCGAAGCTGTCTCTGGGGCCGCCAGTCCCCGCAGAACGGTTCGCATCTTGCAGGATTAAAATGCAATTAAGAAAACCAGGAAGAGTAACCAGCGGAGCCTTGTTAATCACGGCCAAGTTAACATTGTCTGCGCAGATTGCATTAATAAGATTACACCTTCGGGGGATGGCTGTTACTACTTGTCATCGCCTCCAGAAAATTGCGACGTTTAATATGTTTAATGTAATTAAACTATTCCCCCCCCCCTTCCCCTGGCTGGGGTAAAAATGTGATTAGGTGAGACGGTTGGAAGATTTGGAGGGGGGGGGAGGGGAGGGGAAGGAGGAGGAGGAGAAGGAAGAGAAGGAGACGGAGGAGGAGGAGAAGAAGAGGGAGGAGGAAGAGAGGGAGGGGGAGGAGGAAGAGAAGGAGACGGAGGAGGAGGAGAAGAAGAGGGAGGAGGAAGAGAGGGAGGGGGAGGATAAAGAGAAGGAGACGGAGGAGGAGGAGAAGAAGAGGGAGGAGGAAGAGAGGGAGGGGGAGGAGGAGGAGACGGAGCGGGCAGAGAAGGAGAGGCAGTGGGAGAAGGAAAAGGAGGGGGGGGGAGGAAGATGAAAGGGAGGAGGAGGAAGGTAGGAAGAGAAAGAAGAGAAGGGATTCATTTATTATTTATATAATATAAACATCACTGTCTCTCCCACCACCACAAACCCAGAAGCAAACAATACCTGAAAAGTTGTAAATTGAAATATTTACATTAATAAGTTAGTATAGACTTTGCGTTGAATTGGACTCTCTCAGAGCAATCTTTAAAACACTAACAAATGTTGGCACTTTACTCTCAGTGTGTATATATATATATATATATATATATATATATATATATATATATATATATATATATATGTCGTACCTAATAGCCAGAACGCACTTCTCAGCCTACTATGCAAGGCCCGATTTGCCTAATAAGCCAAGTTTTCATGAATTAATGTTTTTTCGTCTACCTAACCTACCTAACCTAACCTAACCTAGCTTTTTTTGGCTACCTAACCTAACCTTACCTATAAATATAGGTTAGGTTAGGTTAGGTAGGGTTGGTTAGGTTCGGTCATATATCTACGTTAATTTTAACTCCAATAAATAAAAATTTACCTCATACATAGAGAAAAGGGTTGCTTTATCATTTCATAAGAAAAAAATTTATAGTAAATATATTAATTCAGGAAAACTTGGCTTATTAGGCAAATCGGGCCTTGAATAGTAGGCTGAGAAGTGAGTTCTGGCTACTTGGTACGACATATATATATATATATGTCGTACCTAGTAGCCAGAACGCACTTTTTGGCCTACTATGCAAGGCCCGATTTGCCTAATAAGCCAAGTTTTCCTGAATTAATATATTTTCTCTAATTTTTTTCTTATGAAATGATAAAGCTACCCATTTCATTATGTATGAGGTCAATTATTTTTTATTGGAGTTAAAATTAACGTAGATATATGACCGAACCTAACCAACCCTACCTAACCTAACCTAACCTATCTTTATAGGTTAGGTTAGGTAGCCGAAAAAGTTAGGTTAGGTTAGGTTAGGTAGCCGAAAAAGTTAGGTTAGGTTAGGTTAGGTAGGTTAGGTAGACGAAAATACATTAATTCATGAAAACTTGGATTATTAGGCAAATCGGGCCTTACATATATATATACACATATATATATACACACACATAATATGGTGGCACCACCTCTGGTTGTCTTTGTAGGGACCCTCAGCCTGGAAGATGATGATGCGTAACTGCATCAATTTGAAGTAATTGGGACAAAATTGTACTGTTTGTCCATTTCTCTGTACACTTGGTTGATTGAGTGTAGCTGTTTGCGAAGGATGGTACGCAGGTGTGATCCCACACCAGCTGGGGGGGTGGTACTAGGTGGTACAAGGTGAGTACCAGCTGTTTAAACCGGTCATTCCATCTGGGGTAACATAGTATAGGTAGAGTTACCGGGGTATTTGACAATGGGGTCTCTCTCTCTCTCTCTCTCTCTCTCTCTCTCTCTCTCTCTCTCTCTCTCTCTCTCTCTCTCTCTCTCTCTCTCTCTCTCTCTCTCTCTCTCTCTCTCTCTCTCTCTCCGACATCCAGTCATGGCAAGTCTCCTCTTAATGATGTCGTTAGCTTCACTGTGCGTCGAGTGCCAGCCTCCAGTGCCAGCCCCTCAGTGCCTTATCAGAGCACACCGTGTTGGCCCTTCCTGTCAGCCTTCGCTGCCCTGCAACTGTACCTGTGTGCAGTGTGGATTGTGGCATCAATGCAGGGAGCCACTGCAATTCAGAGAGCCTCCGGGTTGAGATTGATGCCAGTTGGTGACGTGGAGGGTTGCTAATTGATAGTCACCCGCATGTGGAGCCGCCAATGCTGTGAGGCAACCATTGCAGCGTGATGACATTGTTGCATCAGAGCAAATTGCAACTGCTCGGTCCAAGATTGAGCGGATCCAGCTATGGTGCCACATCTATATATTAGAAATCTGTACAACAGTTGATTGACGGTTGATAGGCGGGACCATAGAGCCAAAGCTCAACCCCCCCGCAAGCACAACTAGGTGAGTACATCTCTCGGAGCCAGTATAGATAATATGTACACAAAATATTATCCAGATAATACATATGGGAAGCAATTGGTAAATTACTAAGCAAATAAAACAACATTTTTGCCGTAATTTTCTAACGCTGACAACACAAATTATTATTCTAATTAGAATTGAAAATTCGTTTTAAACACTAATTACATAAATATTTCCTCAATTTGTCTGCAATTAATTTTATTTAAACACATATTTGCTTTCAATTCCATACTGGGACTGAAAATTTTTTGATAAAATTTAATTCAAATTTACATAGTTCTGTGAAAGTCTAAAATACATTTAGCTGACAAAAAAAAATTATATTTAATGTATAAACATTGACAGAATGCTTCAGACACACACACATACAAAATGCTCTAAAGCCCTCCAATATATAAATAGCTCATTAGTTGAAACAGCACATGCAAAGTATTCCACTTTTGAACTGGAATGCGTAATTAATAGTGTGAATTGGATTGTAATTGTCCAATTTCTCGCCCCCTCCAATTTCCGCCAAAATAGCCAGCATATCCCTTAACAATTATTGACGAGGTGATATCACAGTAATTAGCGTGGGATGAGCGGTTGTTAGGGCCTTCACAACACGCCCACGTGGTTGGTTGGGGGGGGGTCACACGTGGTTGGCAGTTAATTGTCATTGTTGCTGAATGGTTGCTGTATTTGAGTTTTTTTTTTTTACGAATTGTACCAAACATGTGGGATAATTGATGTGTGTGGTAGTGACTGTGTGTGGTGGTGGTAACTGTGTGGGAGGTGTGTGGTGGTGACTGTGTGGGAGAATCGACTATGGGAGACAGTCCCATGGTATCGACTATGGGAGACAGTCCCATGGTATCGACTATGGGAGACAGGCCCATGGTATCGACTGTGGGAGACAGTCCCATGGTATCGACTATGGGAGACAGTCCCACGGTATCGATTATGGGAGACAGTCCCATGGTATCGACTATGGGAGACAGTCCCATGGTATCGACTATGGGAGACAGTCCCATGGTATCGACTATGGGAGACAGTCCCATGGTATCGACTATGAGAGACAGCCCCATGGTATCGACTATGGGAGACAGTCCCATGGTATCGACTGTGGGAGACAGTCCCATGGTATCGACTGTGGGAGACTTATCTTGTGGGTTTGACTGGAAAATTAGTTCCAAGTTCATTATTGGAGATAGGTACGTGGTGTTTAATGTGGGAGAAAACCCCTTGAATGTGGGAGAAGGCTTTCTTGTGGCCTTGACTGTGGGAGCTAGAAGACTCTCCTATAGCCTTGACTATGGGAGAAGACTGTCCTGTAGCCTAGATTGTGGGATAAGACTCACCTTTGGTCTTGACTGTGGGAGAAGGCTCACCTGTGGAGCTCACTGTGGGAGAAGGCTCACCTGTGGCATTGACTGGGAGGACTGCCGTGGCGGCGTGGACCAGGAAGCGAGGTGTGTAGTAGTCGA